TTTCCATTAATCCTACCAGGCCAAATCCAATTTTTATTTATTTGAGTCATATTAATTTTATTATTGATAATCTAAAAAGCTCAGTAAAATTAGATAATTTTTATTGAGCCTTACTAAATATAAATAATTAATATAAATATTACAAATAATATATATAATCCACATTAATATATATTTAAACCTAAAGATAAAATATATTTTTAGTCTTTTAAATACAATATTTTTTACAAGAGTACGATAAGTTTTTTTTTTCTTTCAAAAATTCCCTTTTTTAAAAAAAAATTGATAACTCATATTTGTAAAATATGACGTCAAAAGTGGAAGTCACGTTCCAAAGCACAAAATATTTTTAAGCATAAGATGTGATTCAAAACACGACTTTTACTTTTTTATTTTGAATTTTACTAAAATTATAATTTTATTGTAGAAAAATTAATAATGAGAAAATCGTGTTATCATGTCTAACTTAACTTAAAAAAATTATGATTTCAGTTTTAAAAAAATCATATTTTGAAACATGACTTGCTTGAAGTCGTGTTTCATGAAGTGAAATACCCATTTCGAAATTTTTTGAAGAAAAAAATATTACCCTACTTTGTAAAAATAAACCTTAAATATACCTAGTTACATAAATTTTGCATGCATAACCTGTGCGTTTATGATTTACACAGACAACCGTACAAGGGAGAGAGCAGTTGTATCGTGAATATGAGATTAATTGAATTAGGACTCCATGAAATTTAATTGAATTGAACAATAATTTATGTATGGTGCGAAACAAGCTGTACATATGGATATACATTTATTTCACTAAAGTGGGTTGGGTTGGTCTATAGTCAATTTGAATCTAATATATATTATTTAACAGATGATTCAAATAAGTATAAATTATTAGGTCAAATTGACAATAAAAATAGTAGAGAAACATTTGCCAAGCTTAGCTAGATATTGAAAACACTTTTTTTAAGAGACCAAATAGTCATAATTATTTGCCTCAGACTTTTTTTATGGATAAATTCTAACGTTACTTTTTGTTTTTTCTGCATACCATCAATCCTATAGCATTGCTATGAATTTTAATTTTCCTTTGATAGAATACTTAAATATACCACCTGTTTCCTAATTTTGCAAATAATCTTTATCTTTATTATTATATATATATATATATATGGGGAATGCCAATATACTCTCACTTATTTTTTAGTGGGAATATATTAGCAACCTACACCAAAATTTTAGGACACTTAGAGCGAAATTCCATCACTCAGAGAGAGCCCTTGGGTGCTTGAAGCGTTGGTGTTTGTTTGAATGTTTGCGATGTGAGATGACAAATCAATGTGAATGATGACATGATAACTGATGAACATGAATTGTATAGACTGGTGTATTATATGGAAAAACAAGTGAATAATGTAAATTGTTAGTGATATTATAAAAGTGAAATATTACGTAACAGTTATAATATGATATGTGACAAGGGTTATGATATGCGAATGTGATAAGTGACGAGTTGTAAAGTGTTGGGAATCATATATTGATAAGTGATTGTGTGTTAAAAGTGCATAGAGTCTTGAATGACATGCATCATATATATTATTATGGCCTGGGTTTTGTGATGAGGTATGATGTGGGATACATCGATAGGAAAGATCCCTTTGTGTAATAGTTTGAAGATTAGTTTTTGGGGATAGTTTGGTTTGGAAAGTCCTAGTCTCGCCCATTGTGTGCATGAGAATGCTGTGTAGCTTAACTATCTCGACGAAATCCTAATAATATATCTTTCTAATAAGAGTGCTTTGATGATTTGACCCAACATGTATTTCTACACTACTAAACCTTCGGACCAGGAAAAAATGTTTTTATTGGCATCACATGCATATAGTTAGGAGAGTTTAGTCTTGATATGATCATAACATATTGTTTGTATTTAAGTTATATATTAATTTATGTTGTGATGAGATGAGGTATAGACTAAGTATTGTATTACTGCCTTGTCACTATATGTATGGTTTAGTAAAGTACATGATTATCTATTTAAGTGTAATATTTGTGTAACTACTTGACCTTATTCTACATCAGTAGTCAAAGTAAGATATGTTATTTATTTTTTGTGGATGTTTTTATGTTTTTGTAGGAGGTTTCCTTGTTTAAGGGGTTTAGTTGATGGGAAGATATATCTTTGATAACTATGACATCGCGGATTTTGGAACATGTTTTTGTCTTTTGCTCTAAGGATTATAGTTTGTTTCTTTATACATATTTCTTTAAATATTTGTAATAGTTAAGTTTTTCATTTGATTCTAAATTTAAGATATGATACTTTTTATCTTTATTAGAGTTATTCAATATATAGAGTATTTCTTTTCATAAATTTTATATTTTCATAATACTATATGCATGAGAGGTAGGGGGTATTGTAATCTATTTTTTAATGTTATAATATAATTAGTTGAGCTTCAAATTATATTAAATTTAAATTAAATATAATATTTTTTATGTATAATTTTTATATAATATAATTTTTTTATACAAATTTGTTGAGTAAAGGCATCATTAAAATTAAGAAATTCATACTATTTATTTATTTTGTATTACTTTTTGTAATATTGATGTTTCATTTATTTAATTAGAAATAAATTAATTATCAAGTTAACATTTTGTTTAAAAATAAATATTATTAATGACAATATAGCGAAGTCATTTAAATCTTTATATTATTTAAAATATTCAATGTTAAATTGTGTAACATATATACATATATATATATATATATATATATATATATATAATATTAAAACAATCTATTAATATTATGAATTAATTAATAAAAATTACCATATGCATCGCACGAATTACCAACCTAGTTACACACTTAATGACGTGTTTTGTTTAGAGATCTTAAATAAAATAACATTTCCACTCCATCGGAGGGTTAATAATTGGGTAGCGGGATATTTGAGAGGCATTGTCAGACATAATTTCATGTTGCTTGTAGGAATACACTACGGAAAATCTATATAAAATGGAAAATATTCTTTTTACAACAAGGTAAATAAACAAACAATTAAAAAAAAGTTGAATGACAAATTGATCGATGGAGGGAAAGAAGGGAGGGAGTACAATAAATTAAATGGATGGGTGCAATGAAAATTTTCTAAATCTATGATAGCAATAAGTAATAAGTAAATAACCGAACTTTATGGTCTGAAAATATATATCTTATGATTGGATAAATTACATAAATCAATTATGCTCTAACAAAGACTGTACTCCACCTTGAGATTATTATAAGCTTCATATTCATGTATACAAATCATAGAATTGATCAGAAGTGGCGTAGTTGAGCTTTACCAAATGCCAAAAATCTTTATAAATTCAATTAAGATTTACTTGTCGTCTGAAAATGACAAGAATTACAATGAATAATGATCTATTACCATAATAAGTAAGATCTTCGGAAGATTTTGGTCCTCCCAAAGCTTTTAAAAATTCTGTAAGATGAAAAGTAGCACCTCTGTTCATAATTTGATCATGTTGGGACATGGAAAACGTGCCCTTTATTGCATATAGTACCACTTTTCTAGTTTTCTTTCTCATAACGTGGCAGATATTAGAAGCACCGGCCAGCAGAGCATAGAACAAAAGATTGTGCTCTAACAAGAAATTATCCTGAGACAACGCAATAACAATGCCTTCCATTTTCTACATATATAAAAGGAATCAACCAAGGTTTCTTTCATTCTTTAACTTGACAATCATTGACACTCTTTTCAATATAAAATGTAATTAACGTTTTTCGTCCATGATCCGTTGTATTTCAAGTAGTCAACCACAAAAACTATAGGACAGGAAAATAGCAGTGACCCCAATTAATTAACATTAACATGTATATATATAAAAGCCTTGAAAAGATTTAAATTGATTAAGAAATTAATAAATATTTTATTAATAACAATATTTACTGCATTAATAACATTAAATATTGCATCTTTATTTGATTAGAACAGCTGTATATCAGTTGATTTAAGCATTAGTATATTATTTTTTTCAAGTAAATGTATACCTTTGGAGCAATTGTTAAAATTATATATACATAGTTAAATACTAATATACTTGCATTTAACGGGGATTCAATGGTGATTTGGTGCGATAGGTGTGATTTAAAGGCTAAAAATATTTAGCGTTTGTACGTAGTTAGATAGGACCACGTATCCATCAAAACATCGAGGCCAAGCTGTCTTCAACTTTTATGTTCGATGATGAAATTTTAGTAGTACTGCAAGTGGGGATTTGCTTGTATTTTGCTGGGCGTACACTTCAAGTTTCTAATAAGCCACTACCAAAACAAACATAATCTGTCGACAGGAACAAATCTCAGTAACCAAAACATAATTTTAATTACTCACATGGCACCCACATTGGCTTCTTTTGCATTCATTTTGCCCATGTGATCGCAGGTGATTGATTTGCACCCATTAATTTGTCAATTAATTAGACATAAGTGAGCATTGATTAGATTTAGAAGCAGTTCTTGACAAAATGATAAGTCATGAATTACATATATAATCAAACTTAAATATCTTTCTTCATTTCTGATATGATATATTAGGGATGATACTGTTACCAACTCCACCACATATGATAATTATTTTAATTATAGTATAATGCTGTCTAACTGGATATTCAATATAATATGTATTAAAACGCAACATCACAATCAATCATGTGAACCCATGGTCTTGTATTATTTCTAGTTAGACATTAATTTATGAATGGCTTAAACCTGTGTCATATTTTCAGGCGGCCGTGGTTGACCAAACAAGGAATTGATTGGACCTTTCTTGACCTGGATGTTCAATATTTCCCATGACACTTCCCTTTTGATTAATTAATAAGCATGGATGGTTATTTTAGTAGATGGGATGCCCTATATAAAGGGACCATTATAACCTAGAGCGTCAAGCAATTAAGTTGTCTCTGCTTGTGTATACGTAAAAGCAATGAATGTTACTACAGCTAAGTTTTTATACTTGGCTCTATTTCTGTGGAGCACATTTTGTTCTTTGATGAGTGGTATCAGTCATGGGATGTATGTTGATGGAAGAAGTTTTGCTGATCCTAGTCGTTGGAGGTCTAGCGTAGATAACGATGATGACTATTGTTCTTATAGAAGTTGGAGGGGTTGTGGGAGTTTCTTTGGGAAAGGTGGTAGTGATTCTAAGAATGAGGAGGGCAATGTAGCAGCTCCTACTCCTAGTGGTGGAGTTGGTGGCGATTCTGGTCAAGGTGAGGGGTATAGTGCAAGTGGTGTAGGGGGAAGTGGTGGTAGAGAAGGAGAGGGTAAAGGTATTGGTGAAAGTGGTGTTGGATATGGTCACAATAGTGACTTTGGTGTTGGGGTAGGCATTGGACATGATGGTGGTGGAGGAGGCGGAGGCGGAGGTGGAGGAGGTGGTGGTTCAAGTAATGGTATTGGTTATAGCGGGATAGGTCAAGGTAGAGGATTTGGTTTTGGCTTTGGTGTAGGTAAGGGTAATGGGGGACAAGGTGGTGGGGGAGGAGGGGGAGGTGGAAGTGGAGAAGGTTCTACAGGAGGACAAGGTCACGGTAGTGGTTTTGGTGAAGGTGGAGGAGTAGGGGACATAAAAGGAGGTGGTGATGATGGTGGTGGAGGTGAAGGTGGAGGAGTTGGCAACAAAGGGCAAATTCATGGTAATGATTTTAGTGTAGGCGGAGGCATAGGGGGCATGGGAGGAGGTGGTGGTGGTGGTGGAGGTGAGGGTGGAGGAGTTGGTAACGAAGGACAAGGTCATGGTAGTGGTTTTGGTGCAGGTGGAGGCATAGGGAGCATGGGAGGAGGTGGTGGTGGTGGTGGAGGTGAGGGTGGAGGAGTTGGCAATGAAGGGCAAGGTCATGGTAGTGGTTTTGGTGCAGGTGGAGGAGTAGGTGGCATAGGAGGAGGAGCAGGTGGAGGTGGTGGTGGAGGTGGAGGAGTTGGCAACAAAGGGCAAGGCCATGGTAATGGTTTTGGTGCAGGCGGAGGCATAGAGGGCATGGGAGGAGGTGGTGGTGGTGGTGGTGGTGGAGGTGAAGGTGGAGGTGGAGGAGTTGGTAACGAAGGACAAGGTCATGGTAGTGGTTTTGGTGCAGGTGGAGGCATAGATGGCATGGGAGGAGGTGGTGGTGGTGGTGGAGGTGAGGGTGAAGGAGTTAACAATGAAGGGCAAGGTCATGGTAGTGGTTTTGGTGCAGGTGGAGGCATAGATGGCATGGGAGGAGGTGGTGGTGGTGGTGGAGGTGAGGGTGAAGGAGTTAACAATGAAGGGCAAGGTCATGGTAGTGGTTTTGGTGCAGGTGGAGGGGTAGGTAGCTTAGGAGGAAGAGGAGGAGTAGGTGGAGGTGGTGGTGGTGGAGGTGAGGGTGGAGGAGTTGGCAACAAAGGGCAAGGTTATGGTAATGGTTTTGGTGCAGGCGGAGGCATAGGGGGCATAGGAGGAGGTGGTGGTGGTGGTGGTGGTGGAGGTGGTGGAGGTGATGGTGGAGGAGTTGGCAACGAAGGACAAGGTCATGGTAGTGGCTTTGGTGCAGGTGGAGGAGTAGGTGGCATTAGAGGAGGAGCAGGTGGAGGTGGTGGTGGTGGAGGTGAAGGTGGAGGAGTTGGCAACAAAGGGCAAGGTCATGGTAGTGGTTTTGGTGCAGGTGGAGGCATAGGGGGCATGGGAGGAGGTGTTGGTGGTGGTGGAGGTGAGGGTGGAGGAGTTGGCAACGAAGGGCAAGGTTATGGTAGTGGCTTCGGTGCAGGTGGAGGTGTAGGTGGCATAGGAGGAGGAGGAGCAGGTGGAGGTGGTGGTGGAGGTGGAGGAGGAGGAGGAATAAGTGGTGGGAATAGAGGCAAAGGTTATGGAAGTGGTTTTGGTTCAGGTGTAGGTACAAGTATAGGTGGCATAGGAGAAGGTGGTGGTGGTGGCAATGGTAGTGGTGGAGGAAGAGGTAGTGATGGAGGGGAAGGTCATGGTTATGGTAGTGGTTTTGGTGAAGGTACAAGCAATAATGGTGTGGGAGGAGGGGGTGGTGGAGGAAGTGGTGGTGGGGGCAATGGAAGAGGGTATGGTCATGGTAGTGGCTTTGGTGCAGGCATGGGCATGGGTGGAATAGGAGAAAATGGTGGGGGCAATGGTGAAGGAAGAAAAGGACACTATAATGGTGGTAGTAATAGTAAAGGCGCAAGCAACAATCATGGTGGTAATAATGGCTTAGGAATTGGATTTGGCATGGGTATGGGTTTTGGTTTTGGTATGGGAGCTAGTGGAGTTGATGTTTCCAATCAAGGTGATTTTAATGACCCTTAGAGAGACCACTATTAAAGCTTGGGGTGTCATACTTGGGAACACATTGAAGATGATTCATTATTTGTAGATTAGTCATAAAATTTACAAAACTATTAATGATTTATGTCTTTCCTTTTTCTCATAATATGGATGAATCGCATTATGTAAGACAAAATAAAAATACTATTTATTATTCCAAAATTTCAATGTCATGATTTTTCTCTTCCTAAAAATACATAAGGTATGTTACATATGAAAATGGCATATGATCAATTATAGTTCTTATTTTTTCGAAGTTTACATCACTTAGGTACATAGCCGATTCGAGGTGAGAGTCAAATTGAACATGCACCTAACACAATAATTATGTCATTAAATCGGTAAAAACAAGTGAAAACTTAGGTTAAAGCACTAAATATTTTCTCTTTGCCTAGTTCATTTCGTGACACTTCAACTATTGCATGTTGTGTAGCATGTCACTTCGATTCTTGCATATTGCTAGCTTCTATGTTGTTGTTTAGAGGTCAAATTTTTAATTAGATTTAGAAATGACAAAGTGGGTCAACTCACCTAAAGTGGGCAAGGTGGGTTGACCCACCAAAGAAGTGGGGTGGGGCATGTTAGTGTATCAAAGAAATGAGTTGAAAAATATAAATCATCTCACTTAGCAATGAGTTGACGGGTTGACCTACTTTAATGAGTTAGTAGGTTAAAAATGACGGGTTGATAAGTTGAATCCCATCTTTAACCCACCCAAATTTTATTTTATTTTTAAAACTCAATTGAAATATTTCAATATATATTATCACTTTAAGATATATTTTATAATTGTTAGTAAAATTGATTAAAGGTGTTATATTTTTCATGAAAAGAGATTAAGTAATATATATTTCTATTAAAAAAGACATTATACATGAAAATCTACTAGTAAAAAATTTGTGATTAAAATGATACACTTATATTTCATATAAAACGAGAATAGTTACCTAGAAAAAGAAGTTAAAACTATAAAATAAAAATATTAATCTAACATAAGTCTACTATAAATTTATCTTTTAAAAACATAAAAGAAAAAATGGATTAATGAATTGACTTACCAAGATGGTTGGTTTAATAGGACGAGTTAGGCGGGTTGGTGGGTTTATTTACCCATTTATCACATCAAAGTAAGGTTAAACTCTTATTTGAAATCTTCTCTAATTACCTCATCCATTTTACATACAAAATACCCACACATGAGAGGTATTCAATTTATTTGATCTAAAGATTATAGAGAAGCCTAGGGAGTCATGGATGTATTGTAATTTTTTTACAAAAGGCTAATGGTTAAAGCTTAGCATCATTAGAGAAAACTAGTATTTTAGTTTGTCGAATGCACAAATATATTTATTATATAATTAAAATTTATATAAAAATTATGTATGAAAGTAAATATTATATTTAAATATATAGATTATATTTAAAATGAGGAGATATATACTTATTCCAAGAGTAAGTTTACTTAGACTTATTCCACTTAATAATTCATATTTTATATTAAATTTCGAATTAAATTTTTTAATGCATAGATCAAATCTGTAAATTTTTTAAAAAAATTAAAAATTATTTGATAATTTGTTTCATCAATAAAATCAACATATAAAATGATTTTAAGATTATTCAGTGATTTGAATTAATGAAATAAAGTATCAAATAATTTTAATTTTTTTTGAAATTTTTTAGATTTAATCTATACATTAAGAATTTTTAATTCAACCGTTTGATTCGTTGAAATTTGATGAAGAACATAAGTTATTGAATTAAAAATTAGTATACATATATATTTTTAAGCATATAAATGATATTTTAGAATTATGATAAATAATTTGTATTATAAAAAAATTGTTTTTATTTATTGATATTTATTTTAAAATATTAATAATTAATTCATAAATTATTATGATAAATAAAAATTGAATTAGATAAGAAGTTAAAAAATCTCTGCAAACCCTCTTATTGAAGAAAAATCCCTAAAAATACTCTCATGTAAGATAAAAACTTGTGTTTAATTAGTATTAGTATTTTAACATGTGTAATGCACAAACATGTTTATTACATATAATATAATTAAAATTTATAATAAATTATATACAAATAAATACTATGTTTATATATATATATATATATATATATAATATTTAAAATTATGACGACTTGACTAGTCACTACACTTGTCATAATTTAGCTATCACGTAACGAAAGATTATACAACATATATTTAACCTATGATTATCATGCAACAAGTACTCCCATGCATATAGTTATATGTAAGGAGAGAAAAAACATAGATCAATCATGTACATGCATAATGAGTAAATATTGTTTCTTTGAAAAATTTTCTTTTTATACCTTTTCTGAACCGACACCACTTATCTCTAAATTTCAACTATCTAGAGATTCAACTTATTTTAGGGGTCTCTGGGCTCCAAAACTCTTGATAGCGTCTGTTAATTAGACAACAAGAGTTATAAAATTGACAGTATTACAAAATTAGTATACATAAATATTTTTAAATTATATAAATTATATTTTAAGTTTATAATAAATAATATGTATTATAACAAAAAGTTTATTTATAGTTATAGATAATTTACTTTAAAATATTAATATTTAATTCATAAATAAATATGATAAATAAAAATTGAATTGAATAAAAAAATTAAAAAAAAATTTCTACAAACTTTCTCATTGTAAAAAAGTCTCTAAAACCATCTTCTTTCAAAATATAAATTCATGTGGGTTGGTTTTAGCTTGTGCAATGCACAAACTAAATATTTAGTATATATAACTAAAATTTATAATAAATTATATACAAATAATTATTATATTTGAATATATAAATTATATCTAAAATTTATATAAATAGATATCTAAAATAATAAATTATATTTTAAATTTATGATAAATAATTTATATTATAATATTATAATATATTTTTTGATAACTTATTTTAAAAATATATAAATTTAGCTTATAAATAATTTTGATAAATAAAAACTAAATTAGATAATCATTTAAAAAAAATTCTAAAAACTCTTCCATCAAAGAAAAACTTATTTACCCGGTTTGACTGGATACGGGTAAAACCTGATATATTAAATCAGGTACGGGTTCCTATTTTTAATTTAATAAACACTTTCAATTTAATTATATACGGGTATACCCGATATCCCGACGGGTACGGGTATACCCGATACCCGACAGGTACGGGAACGAATATGGGTTTGACTTGCGGGATAGGGACGAGTATCATGAAACCCGTACCTGACCCGCGCTGTTGCCATCCCTTCATGCTTAATATATATAAGGATTAATATTTAAATATTAAATTATATATATATATATATATTTTATAAATTTGTCGTTAAATTATTCTTGGAAAAAGATATTAAATTATCTTTTTAAAAATGCTTAATTATCACTAAATGTACTTGATGTTTTGGATAAATGAAATACAAAATGTACATTTGATGTAGTTTAAAGATACTTTTCAGATACCCATTTATTCAATCATTTGTATAAAAATACTTCAATTTAATCACTGTACAGTACATACATTTGTAGAATGAAATTAAAATATAATTTTTCTGAATAAATTAAAATATAATTTTTATTCTTATAATGATCTCGTTTTTGGTTTTGATTTGTATTTATTAAAGTTTAGTCTTTTGTATTTTTTTTTAGGTTTTAATCTGTAAAATTTATTTTGTTTAAGTTTCAATTCATATAATATATTCACGTTGATTGTAAATACTATCTCTTTAATTTTAAAGTATATGAAGAAATCAAAAATTAAAATTTTAAACGTATAAGAGCCTAAATTAAAATCAAGGAAAATAAGAAAGATTAAAAATATACACTTTAAATCTTAGAGTTGATATATACTGAAGTATGAGAATCCAATTGATTATAGTTATCACATTCTATTTCACTTAATTGTTATGTTAGTTTACAATATTACAACCGTGAGATACAATAGAAATAATGTTAAAAATAAGAGTAAATGACTAATTTAATCGTTTGAAACTGTCACTTTAGTTCTAAAATTTAACGATTTTTTTTATTATAAAAAATCATATTATATTATGTATTCATTTTAATTCTTTTGTTAAATAAAATTTATTTCTTTAAAGAAAGTATTTATATAGTACAGTAAATGTCATGTAACATACATGCAACTAACCTGCAACACACATGTGAATGAATACATTATGTGAATGCGCATCATGATATATGTGTGTTCATGATATATGAGTGTTGTGTTATATGAATGTAATACAGTGTTATTTTAATCTTTAAAGTTGTAATGTAATGTTATTCTGATTCTTGATTTACAAATTGAAATTATTTTAGTCTTTTATATTAAAATGTGATGTCAATTTAACCTTTAAACATTATTATAATTTTTTTAATTAGTTAATTATGACTTAAAAATTTACATAATAAAATAGATAATTAAATTAATATCATAAATAAAATACTAATATATTTAAATAGTATTACAATATTGGTATTTGATAATATATTTTTATTTTAAGTATGTTATATCTCTTCTTTTAATTTTCAATTTTTTATCCTTTTTTATTTATTTTATTTTTAAAATAAGAAATAAAAAACTTTATAATTTCTCTATATTTTAATTTATTTTCATAATGATTTCACTTATCAATTGTTTCTTGCTGTTTTTATTTTCTCTAAAAAAACATTATTACTTTTATTTCTTAGAAATTGCAGAGTTTACAATTCTAGCTTTGATTTGAATAGTTGAAAAATAAAAATAAAAAATTAAATTAATATTTTTTATAAGAAGACTAATACATCTAACAACATTATATAAGGTAGGCTTGAAGAAGAATTTTAGATCAAAGTCAAACTATACTTCACGGTTAGTTAAAAGTGTAATTTAGAAAATTAAAAACTTCGTATTTTATTTTTTATATTATAAAATATGATATATTAAACAATTAAAGAGAGAAAAAAAAACTTAAAATAAGAATAAATATTAAGTATAAATTTTATAGCATGTTGTTAAATTAAATATATTACTAAAAGTAAAAAAAAAATGTAGACGGAGAACTATTATACAAATTACTTTTTTCTTTTCTTACTCAAAATGAAGTTCTTATACAGTTTACTTATTCCCTTTTACTCAAAATGAAGATAATTTCTTAAATAAGTCATTCACACAATTAAAAGTATCCGTATGACTAGATTTTATTTCAATAATATAAAAAGGATTATTTACCGATATAACATCCTCCAAAGATTATTTATCCCAATAACACTTTTCTCACTCTGAAAAATCCATCCCTAAAACCTGTTTTCTGGCTTATTTATTTATTTATATTTTTTACTGACCCGTTAAGAAGTCGAGTCCCTCCAACAGACCAACCTAACTTCTTGATGTTTTTTTATGTTATATTTTTTTTTCTGATTTTAAAAGTTAAAATAATTATTATTGAAAGACTACAAATTTATTATAATTCATTATAATTATTTCATGGAACAATTAGATATATTACTACTTTAAATAAAGTTTAAAGTTAGTAAATATGCAAATTACAAATTAATAGATTAATTTATCTACTTTAGATTGTAATCTTTGCCTGTCTTTTATTTTGTGAGGTAATTTTTTTTTACTTAAATATGATTTTAATCTCTATAAAATAATAAAGTTTAATTTTAGTTCTTGTTTTTTATTTTATTCTTTAATCCTTCTAAAATTTAAAATTACTATTCTAAGTCTTTTTTTATTATGTAATTATTTTTAATTACTTGCTTGTTTACTAAAAGAGTATTCAAGTGTCATTCACAACTATCAATAATATCATGTTAGTTTGAGACATATCTAAAAAAATATAATACATTATTAAAATAAATGTGATTTATATATTTTATAATCATAGATAAGAAAAAAAAAGTGATAACTTAAAATTTTAGAAGGATTAAAGTAAAAAAAAATATTTTTAAAGAATTCAAAACTAAAATTTAATCATTTTAAAAAGATAAAAAAAAAAAATATTTCATAAGAACAAAAAATAATGTTAATAAATTTTAAAAAAATAAAAATAAAGAAAAAAAATCAGAAACTACAATCAAAATCCATTTTAAGCCAAAATTAATTGAGTTAACCACCTAGGTACTGTTAGTGTAAAATTTTTTTACACTGACAACCAATTATATCTTTTAATTATGTCATGTCACTATTAAAAATAAATGTGTTTATAGTGACATGACACAATTAAAAGATATAATCGAAATTTCTCTTTCTCTCCCTCCTATTGTATTTCTTGAGACTTGTGAGACATTTGTGTAGTGTGAAAGATTGTCACAAAGCACCTATAGTTTCTATATTAGAAGATCTAACAAAGCTTGTTACAAGGTATTTAAATCAATTTTCTTCTCTCTCTTTTATTTCTTATCTTTGATAAATATTATTATAATAAAAACAATCATGTAGATATTTTAAAATTAATTGTTTAATTTAAATTTCAAGCATGTAAATATTTACCAATAAAAGGAGATTTAATATTTATATTATTATTGTTTATAATGTTAACTTCGTCATAGGGTATCGATTAAGGACATTGTAGGGATGCTTAATACCTTCCCTACAGGTAATCGACCCCCGAACCCAATTCTGGTTATCAAGGCCATAGTTGGATCTTTAAAAAACCTTTTCTTTTTCCAATGTTTTGAGTAAAATATTGGTGGCGACTCCACTACACGTAACCGACCCTCGGACCCAATTTTAGTTATTAAGACTATTATTGGACCTTTAAAAACCTTTTCTTTTTTCAATGTTTTGAGTAAAACATTAATGGCGACTCCATAAACTTATTTTTAAAAAACTATTCATTAAGGATTAGTCTGACGTCCAGACATTCTTTAATTGATGAGACTTTTAAAAAGATGTCTAAACTATAGGTCGCAAGATCAGAAATTTTCGGGTTGCAATAGATGAATATAAAAAAACTTTACACTAAAAATATATAGGTGATTAACTCAAATTAATTTATCTCGTAACTTGCTGGGTACACTCGTAGTCCTATTTTCAAGTTTCAAGTTTCAACTTTCAACTTTCAACCATGAATTTATAATCGAGGGTCACGAAAGTGGGTCCCACTGAACAGAAACTTCGGACAAGATCAGCGGCAGAGACAGAGCATCATTGAGTTTCCCTTTCTAGTGGCCATCGGATGCTGGGGTACATAAAAAGCATAGCATGATCGAGCAACACTTGAACAAAGCGCAAGACAAAGTAAGTCTCAACAAATTCCCTCACACCAACCCTCTTCTTTTATTATTTTCTTTGTGTTACTCTGTATATATTTTTTTTATTCAAATATGTCTCCTTACAACTTAAAGTTACAGCAGATAAGCGAGCATCTTATTTCATAGACATATATATAGAAAAGGGTCATCTTTCAGATCCTTCTGTTTTGCACTGCTGAATGCCTTTTCGGGCACCCAGATTTACTCATTCTCAATTTACATCACACACCAAACAAAACCATGTAAGTGCCTTTACCCTTCTTTTATCTCTTACTTCGTTGCATTTTTCCATGTAGACTCGTCTTTGCTCTAACGTAATGTACCGTGATCTCGAGTTTATGATGATTCTGGTGAATCTGGGAATTGAAATTTGGATCTAGACAATTGAGAAAGATTGGACTTTATCGTGTCTCTGGCTCTCTGGGGTGTTATGTTCTGTATTGCTGTTGATGATAAAGAGCCTCTTTTATTTCATTTTGTATGATTTTCCGTGTTATATGTCCCTCGCTGCGTTACATTGATATCTTGATTCTGGTTCTGAGTTCTACAATGCGTTGGCTAGAGGTTTTCTAGGATGTTTTATGTTTGGAATTTGACTTACTATTATCTCATGGGATTTATTCATTGTCTGAGATCACGAGATGTGCCCACTTCTGGTTTATAGAGAAGAAATGGAATTATTCTTCTCTCAAGTGTCACCTATGAATCTGGCCAGTGGCAATTAGCCTCATTTGTTTGTTTGTTTGTTTCTGCCAAGTTTTGATCATTTCTAGAACTGTATCAACATCTCAATGAAATGGGATCAAACAGCTTGCTTGGCTTTGATTTTGGCATTGAAAATTTAGTCCTTTTTGGGGTAGGGACTAGAGAGAGTAACGTGATGAGTACTACGTTAATGTTATACTATAGATGGCAAGGATTTCTTTGACTCCTAATTAGAGCCTGTTTGCATACAAGCTTAGAAGATCTTTTTCATTGGAATTTTTCTTTTTTTTTCTACAGAGAAGTTCTCGAAAATTGTTCTAAACTTGAATCCAAACAGATTCTTAATCAAGTGATCAAAGTTATGCTTTGTTTAAATTAATAATTTTGAAATTGAACTCCTTTTGCTCCTCAGATAACAGAAAATGAGGGGGGGCTTGTGGCAACTTGGGCAATCAATCACACGCCGTCTTGGCCACGGTGATAAGAAGGCTGTTGCTAGTCGGTATTTCACCTCAGAAGCTGAGCTGAAGAAGACAGTCCTTTATGACTTCCATGTTGCTAATGGAGGGAAGATGGTGCCATTTGCTGGATGGAGCATGCCAATCCAATATAAGGACTCCATCATGGACTCAACCCTGAACTGTAGGGAGAATGGTAGCCTTTTTGATGTTTCCCATATGTGTGGGTTAAGCCTCAAGGGAAAGGACTCTGTCCCATTCCTTGAAAAGCTTGTCATTGCTGATGTTGCTGGACTTGCCCCTGGAACTGGTACATTGACTGTCTTCACAAATGAAAAAGGTGGGGCAATTGATGATTCGGTGATTACCAAGGTGAAGGATGATCACATATACTTGGTTGTGAATGCTGGGTGTAGGGATAAGGATTTGGCTCATATTGAGGAGCATATGAAGGCATTCAAAGCAAAAGGTGGTGATGTGTCATGGCACATCCATGATGAAAGATCTCTTCTTGCTTTGCAGGTCATTTATCACACTCTTGTACATTTGCATCATGCCACACATTTTGAACTTGCTTCTATTGAGTTTATTCCCTCCATTTCTGTATTATTGAGATGGATGTAATCTTCATTTTAGATTTAAGAATGCTTATGAAATAATTCAGTCTATACTATCACCAGCTCTGATAACATACTGCTTGTTATCTTGTGTCCATCTCTCTCTTCATAAATATTCACAAATATTTATAAACCCCCATCTATTTAATACCTATGAAGAGAGAGAGACAAAATTTGGAAATTCAACATGAAAAGAGAAATGTGTTCTTTTTAAAACTGATTACTAAATTGAGGGAATTTTAAATTCATGTTCTGTTCTTAACATTAACATTAACAAAGGATCCTTATTTCCTTTGTAGCAGGGTCCTCTTGCTGCTCAAGTTCTTCAACACCTGACAAAAGAGGATTTAAGCAAGATCTACTTTGGACAGTTCCGTGTGTTGGACATCAATGGTTCACAGTGCTTTCTTACGCGGACAGGGTATGTTTTCTTGCAGTAATGCTACATCTGAAAATCCCATCTTGTGTCACTTTACATCAATGTTAAAAATCTTTCCTTATAAAATGCTGTTATTTCCTGACTTATATAATCAGTGCAATTTGATAATTTCAGTTGGTTTCTGTGTTGTTAACTAAGTTTCCAAGGGGTGCAATGCTTAATCCCAATGGCAGTACTACTACTGTGCATAATAACACCCTCTTCACCGAGACTTTCAGGTACACTGGAGAAGATGGATTTGAGATATCAGTTCCCTCAGAAAATGCAGTGGATCTTACCAAGGCAATTCTGGAAAAATCAGAAGGGAAGATAAGACTGACCGGATTAGGTGCTCGAGATAGTCTTCGACTTGAGGCTGGATTATGTTTATATGGCAATGACATGGAACAGCACATTACACCAATTGAGGCAGGACTTACATGGGCCATAGGGAAGAGAAGGAGAGCAGAAGGGGGCTTTCTAGGGGCTCAGATTATCCAAAAACAGCTTGAAGAAGGTCCTAAGATCAGGCGTGTTGGTTTTTTCTCTTCTGGCCCTCCTCCTAGAAGCCACAGTGAGATTCAAGATGAAGGAGGGAACAACATTGGGGAAGTCACCAGTGGTGGATTCAGCCCTTGCCTGAAGAAGAACATAGCCATGGGATATGTGAAATCAGGATTGCACAAGGCTGGCACCAAAGTGAAGATTATTATTAGAGGAAAATCTAATGAAGGAGTTGTTACAAAGATGCCATTTGTACCAACAAAATACTATAAGCCATCCTGATTTACTTTCAGATTTCACCTTGAACCTTTCCAATACTCCCCTTAACCAGATTTCTTATAATCTGGACGTTTAGGGTTTTCAATGCCTTTAGTCCTACTCACATCATGTACAAGGAGAATGCCTTGCATTAATGACTCAATTTTCATATTTATGATAGTTGAGTGTCATCTTGAAATTTTCTGATATTGTTCTCCGTTCCCACCAAATTCTACACTTTAGTCAACATGACATCTATGGAATTCGAAGTGGGCATGTTATTCACTGTATGGCTTATGATAGTTATTTCATTTTATAATCTTGGGGTTGATTTGAACTGCATATCATCCACAAAACCATAATGCTTCCTGTAGTAGGCATTCACATCAGAACATGAATTTGGATTTATCACTATAGGAAAATATTTCAAGATTAAAAGGTTCCCTGAACGGCAGCATATACCTGCAGGCATTTCATCAAGAGATTCAAGGGTCTCCGTAAATTTCGTAAAATTTCTCGATAAGTACATTTATGTGAAAAATATAAGAAGAAAAAATGAAATAAATTTGTTCATAAATTAATTTGTAAGAATTTTCTTTCACTAATTTATTCAAAATTTTATTTTTAACTTATAAGTTAATTTATTGAGCATGTATTAATAGTTGCTTTAGATTTTTCTTTAGTTGTTTGATCAAGTTTTTAGTACCGTTTATTTTATTTGTTGTTACTTATTATTTGTTTATGCTAGTGATTATTCAATAAGATAATGCATTCTTCCACTTTCAACTCGTGAGTTACGTTTTCTTCACTAACATTATTTTAGTTTACCAAAAAAAATATTTTAATTTTTCAATCTATTTTATCTTTTAGAACTTTGAAGTATTTCTGAAAGAAGTTTATATAAACATGCCTATTGCAATGAAATTGACTTACCTTAATGGCGAAATTTAGTTGATCAGCATTGCACAGTGCTGGTACAACAATTTATGTTTACAAACCCCCTTCAGTTTTGAACTGCTTGCTGCTGTAGATAAAATAAAAAAAGTATGGAAATCAGGCTTAAAAACCAGTTTGAAAGGAGTTCCAAACTGTTCAAAACCAATTCAGTTTTAAAAATCTGATCAATTCAGAAACAACCGATCCATTAAAACGGCCCGGTAAACAGGCTTGGCATAGGGCCCTTTCGAACTAATCCACTTCAAAACAGTTCAGTTGGGTTGATTTTTTTAAGAGGTAACTGATACGTTTTATCGGGCTCACAACAAAGTTTATCTTTGAGAAAACGTTTCAAATAACGTAACTAAACTTTCCTATTTTCCAATACTAAAATATAGAAGCTTTTAAGTTTAACGTGCGTTCTTTCGGGTTTTAACGTCAAACCAAACACACCGAAAGTTTGCTGCTTCGGTATTAACAAAGATATTCTCATTATTTTTTATCTTGAATTAACTATAAAAGCAAACGCCAGTTTAAAATCCGCTCACAAACTTTTTACTCTTCTCTAATTAAAGATTCAAGATAATATAATATATTTCTGTTTAGGTTACTGTTCCGAGAAACTTTTTGCCCTGGACCTAAGGGATTACAATGACTATTGGGCCAGAGCCCTTAAACTTAGGGGGTTAATTCAATAATTATATCATTGTTATGTCGATGGACCTTTAATAACTTAACCCATAACTGATGCTGTAGTTCAGCCTTAGACTCAGGAGGGTATAGTTACGTTAAAAATTAATTCTTATATATTGAATATATAACTTTTTTAAGAATTTTTTTAATGAAAGCGTTTTAAATTCTATTATTTCCTTATCGATTCAATTTTTATTTATTAATTAAATTTTAATATTTTAAAATAAATTATTAATAAATAATTTTTATGTAATACAAATAAATTATTTATTATAAATTTAAAATATAATTCATATATTAAAATGTGATATTTATTTATATATAATTTATTATATATAATAAATATTTCACATTCTAAAATACGTGAATTCTATATTTCTATTCCACATGGAAATTGATTTCTATGATCTGAAGTCAATCAAAAGCCAATTTGCACGGAGGTAAATTATTAATTCATTTTATGGTAAATAAGATCCACACACATTGGGCGAAATCTCTCATGTGAATTAAAAAAATTAAATGATATATTTTCTTCGTTTTTTTTTTTACTGTAATATATTGATATACGTTAAAGTTATGTGAAAAAATTAATTGCATTTATTTGAGGAATTGATTTCTATAATCTCAAATCAAAATCAAATGTGACTGGAAAGGAAAAATCACTTGAGAAGAAGCGAATAATTTTATGGTAAAATTCATACATTTAATAATATATATCATCTCAATTAGAAAGAAAAAAAAAATCACATATCTTTCCCTTTTTAACAGAATATATTCTTTTAAAAAAAATATTTAATAATGATAAAAAAAATATTCTTTTCAAAAAAGAAAACAGAATATATTGATTTAGGTTTGTTTCACGAGGATAATATCTGAGGGTGTAAATAAAAGAAGTAACAGACAAATGAACGGATACGATGTTATCTATCCCGTGAATCACTCTATAAATTGCAAACCTCACCTTCCTCATCGCCACACTCGAAGCCTTTTCCCCCATTCCTTCTTAAAATCACAGAGTTGTGAAATGTCTCTCTCAATCGATTTCTGTTGCAGCGTATCAGTTATGGAACGAATCGAAGAAAATGTGGTAATGTAAAGCACGATCATTGATAGCTTATATTTACATAAAGATAAAATTGTAACCTAGCATGTCATTTATATTCTGAAATGTTTGTCAATCGAATTTCTCCTAATGTTTGTCACATACGGTACTTTAACCCATGTCTTTCACATGATCGCTCAACCGACAGAAATAATTGATTTGTCTGTTAAATGAAATGGCAGTGAAAAACATCAACCATGAAAATTATATTCAATTAATGTTTGGGTTGAATCATGAATTTATATGTATGTTTCGCATGGTTGATGTGTTTCAATTTCATTTCATTTAACAAACCAATTGCTTCTTTCGGTTGAGCCATCGTGTGAAAGTCATGAATTAGAGTAGTGTAAGTGAGAGCATTTTGGACAAATTGTTATTTCAGAATATAAATTATAAGCCTTAGTTACAGGTTCATCTTTATTTAGGCTATCAATGATTGTGCTTTGCATCACTACATTACAACTTGAAGTTTTGGACTCCATCCTTTTCTTTTCAGGGTGGAAAATTTGCTCGTTTTGATGATCAAATAGGAACCTAGGGCCGAAAGATCCTTCATAAGATGCATGATTTACCCATGGTCCACTGAACCAGAGTTTGTGGGTAAGTTGCTTTTCGATATGCCATTCCTTTTTTAGTTCATTGCAAAATATTAACACGATTGCTATCTAATATAATAAATTATTGATTTTCATCTGAATTGTGCTTTTTCCTACAAAAATTGATTTAGCAAAAGGAGGAAATTCTTTCTCTGGTGAATTCCATTTCAGAAAGGGAGATGTATCAAAACATGAAGCACTTGGAATTGTAGTTATTGCTACAAGAGCTGCCTTAGTTAAAAACATGCACCCTTTGAAATCGTAGTTATTGTCCACTTCAGCATTTCATGTGGAAGGAGCATACCAAGGAATTAACATTGTCATATTTTGCAGTTACGCATGCTGCTATTCCCTTTTAATGTACTTCAGAATTCAGTAGTGATGACTAAACCAGCAATGATATTGACCATTGCATTTCCTCTGTATTCATCTGTTATGTTGTTTAAGTTGTAAATATGATAAGGATTCTATTAATTTTTTCATTGAAATTAAGGACTGCCCTGCATATGTTTTCTTCCTTTATTTGCAAACTTCTCACTTGTTATGATTCATTCGGACGAGATGCACCACGTCATGTTCTCAATCTCCAAAAATTAAATTTTAGGCGAATCATTACTTATTTTTTATTTATTAATTTCTTGCCTAATTAATTTATTAAAAAAGTATTTATCTGATGAAATTTAAATTTTCTTTTAAACATTAATTTTTATAAGTAAAATTATTAATATAATTCTAAGAAAAATCATCCGAACACCTTCTTTAACATACCTTCTTTTTAACAGTAGCTATATAATTAAAATGCACACAATTGATGTATTTTATCGATAATCTCTATAAAACACCTTCTTTAACATACCTTCTTTTTAACAGTAGCTATATAATTAAAATGCACACAATTGATGTACTTTATCGATAATCTCTATAAGAAACTTTTCAAAGATATTATTAAAAGCAAAAATTCTTAAGGAGAAAGAGTTTAAACTATATATATCTTAATATATATTAGATTATAATTCAGCTATTTTTCTTATAAGTTGTATCGGTATTGTCTTTTAACACTTTCTTGCAAAGAGTGGACATATTTGACATTTATTTCTCCTATGGCAGTCTTCTCGCAAACAAACCATAAATTTAACTTGAAATGCTTTGTCACATCAAATGAGAGGAGGAATCGTTACTGTTATTCTGGGTTCTGTGAGAAGAGATTTGAGCCACTGAGTTTCTGCTACCAGAACGGCAATACTTCTGTATTCTGCCTCTATGCTACTCTTTGAAACTACTTGTTTCTTGGCCATCCAGGATATCATATTGCTTCCAAGAAATAGTAGTCCATTCATTATCACAGTAGCTCAATATATGCAGATTGTTTGACTTTTCAAAAAGCAAACCATGATCACATGTCCCACTTATATATTGTAAGACCTTTTTTACTATCTTTAATGACTTTGTAATGGCTTGTGCATATATTGACATAGCATAGTTTGTTGATTGTGAAGGCAAGATCAGGCCTAGTAATAGTGAGTTATTGAAGAGTGCCAACAACAAAACGATACAGACTTCAGCTGCGTTTGTTTCCTCATATTGAAATTTGCATCCAGGAGTAAGAGGAGTCTTCACAGGTTTTGCATCCTGCATTTTAAGTTTACACAACAAGTTAGAAGCATATTTAGATTGATTTAAGAGGAACTTACCATCATTGAGATTTTTGGCTTTTATTCCAAGAAAATAGTGCAATTCTCCTCCTTTAAGGAAAATTTTTTATGTTGATTCCAAGAAATAGTAGTCCATTCATTGTCACAGTAGCCCAATATATGCAGATTGTTTAACTTTTCAAAAAGCAAACCATGATCACGTGTCCCACTTATATATTGTAAGACCATTTTTACTATCTTTAATGACTTTGTAATGGCTTGTGCATATATTGACATAGCATAATTTGTTGATTGTGAAGGCAAGATCAGGCCTAGTAATAGTGAGTTATTAAAGAGCGCCAACAACAGAACGATACGACTTCAACTGCGTTTGTTTCCTCATATTGAAATTTACATCCAGGAGCAAGAGGAGTCTTCACAAGTTTTGCATCTTGCATTTTAAGTTTACACAACAAGTCAGAAGCATATTTAAATTGATTTAAGAGTAACTTACCATCATTGAGATTTTTGGCTTCTATTCCAAGAAAATAGTGCAATTCTCCAAGATCCTTTAAGGAAAATTTTTTATTTAATTTGGGGAAAATATGTTGCACAAAGTCTGCATTGTTTAGCATATATGTAATAGTATTAGCAGTAAAATGTATAAATAATGAATTATCACATTTAGCTTAAACAAATCTAAAGGATACAAGTGTATAGACTAGTTTGCCAAACCAAGCTCTTGGAGTTTGTTTTAATACATAGATTGTCTTATTTAATCTACACACCAAATTGGGATTGTTGTTGTGAAACCCTTCTGGTGGTTTCATGTAAACCACTTCCTTTATATTACCATTCAAAAAGGCATCATTAACATCCACTTGTCTAACAGACCAGTCTGTAAATAGTGCAACAAACAAGATGACATTGATAGTCATATGTTTAACTACAAGGCTAAAAGTTTTTTGATAATCCAAACCATGTTGTTGGGTAAATCTTCTTGTCACTAGCCTAACCTTATATTTAGAGATGTTGCCATCAAGATTGTGTTTGAGCCGGAAAATCCACTTGGATCCGAGGGGTTTTCTATGTGAAGGTAAAGGAACAAGATCTCATGTTTGGTTTTTTATTAAAGCGTTGAGTTCTTCATGCATAGTTTGAATCCATTTAAGAGATTGTAAAGCTTTTCTAACTGTACTAGGTTCCATTTCAGATACCGTGACTTTTGGTTTAAAAATACGAGCCTTGCCTCTTGTACCATAAGATGATTATTGTTGATAAGGGTTATAGCTCCAAAGCTAGGACCTATATCAGAATCAATCTCAGCGGTGGAAGTATTTGTATTCTTAATTAAAATAGTTCCTACATTGTCAGGAAGCATAACCGCAGGAGTAATGGTCACAAGACTTGTAGGTTGAGGAGTATCCTCAATTTGAGGCACATTACAACTAGGAACAGTAGATATAATAGGAGGATGTATATTACCTTGAGTAAAATGATAACTCAAATATTCTTTTCTTTTACCAAGCATAGGAAAATCAAAATCATCAAATATAACATGCTTAACGATATAAATTCTACCTATTGAATCAAGACATTTAAAACCATTATGATTACAATGTAACCTAGAAATATGCATGGTTTAGACCGTTAATCTATTTTATATTGATTATAAGGTCTAAGATATGGATAACACTTACATTCGAAACTTCTGAATATGCTATAATCTGGCTTCATATGGAATAAAGTTTCAAATGGAGATTTTAGTTTTAGAACAGGTGTAGGAATGCGATTTATAACAAATGTAGTACAAGCAAATGCATGGCACCAATAATCAAACGACAAACCAGATTCAACTAATAAAGTGAGGCCTGTTTATGTGATATGGTGATGCTTCCTCACAAGGGCACCATTTTGCTCATGCGTATGAGGGTAGCTAAATCTATAAGTTATGTCATTCTCTTTGAGTATAGAACTGAAACTTTGGTATTCTTTTGCAGCATCTGTTTGAAGAATCTTCAATTTCTTTTGAAATTGTAACTTTGGCATCTTCTTAAATTCAAGAAAAGAGTTTAATGCTTGAGATCTATATTTTAAGAAGTAAGCCCAAGAGAATTTTGAATATGCATCAAGAAACAAAATGTAATATCTATATCCTTCTTTTGAAAGTAGGGGTGGTGGTCCCCAAATATCAGAATATACTAATTGCAATGACTCAATATAAACAGTTTCAGAAAGATGTCCCTAGATAAAATTGATCAAGGTCTCCCAAATTCAATAGTTAATTGCATATGACAATTACTTTGACAAATCCTAACTTCATACCATATTTCTCAAAGATAATATATTTGTCATTCATCAGAATGAAGCTTCATCAAATTATCCCTGAAATGGTGAATATTTCAATTCATATACAATTTAAACATCCTAATTTTCTGACTTGTTAGGCAAAGAAAAACATATGAAAAATGTTAGTTTTGTACATCTTACATCAAACTACTAATATATCAAAATAATGTATATTGTCACAATTCTTAATTTGTAATTTGATTTAGTAGAGTTTAGTTAATCCTAAACTATTCCATTAAGACTCTTTGTTTTTATCTCTCTCTTTTCCCTCCACACTTTTTTTTTAGTGTCTTTTGTAATTTTCAAAATTCCTAAAAATTACAAATGATTTTTAGTTTTAGATTTTTATTTAGTTTTAAAATAAACTTACTTTAAAATTTTCTTATTTTGTTAAATTATTTTAAAAATATTTTTGTATGACTACAATAGTAATACCAATAGTAATTGTAGTAGTGGGGATATTGAGTGGTGGTGTTAGTTTTAAAAATAAATGTATCATTATTTTGAAATTGAGTTAAAAATTATATTTTATTTAAAAAATTATATAAGTCCTGAAACATTAACTCTCTTTTGAATGGGTAATATCGATGAAGCTACTGCGAAGGCTACGAACTTAGAAATGGAGAGCAAATTGAAGAAATGACTTTAAATCTTTGTGTACTGACTCCTAATCGAATTGTTTGGGATTCAGAAGTGAAGGAAATCATTTTACCTACTAATAGCGGACAAATTGGAGTATTACCAAATCATGCGCCTATTGCCACAGCTGTAGATATAGGTATTTTGAGAATACGCCTTAAAGACCAATGGTTAATGATGGCTCTGATGGGCGGTTTTGCTAGAATAAACAATAATGAGATCACTGTTTTAGTAAATGATGCGAAAAAGGGTAGTGACATTGATCCACAAGAAGCACAGCAAACTCTTAAAATAGTAGAAGCTAATTTGAATAAGGCTGAAGGCAAGAGACAAAAAATTGAGGCAAATCTAGCTCTTAGACGAGCTAGGACACGAGTAGAGGCTATCAATGTGATTTCGTAACAAGTTGATGCGTCCGAATATCCGAATAATTAAAAAATTGAAAATGAAACAGTAAGAAAAGATAGAAAATAAATAAAAGGGTAGTAGAAAAACTTATTAGATACCAGAGTCAATGGTATCTAATAAGTTTTAACTATACCTTACCTACTATTGGATTTGAACCAATGACTCCCGCCGTATGAAAGCAATACTCTAACCACTGAGTTAAGTAGGTCATTTATCACCGCCCCCAAAAAAGGATGGTACCCATTTATCAGATCAATTGATTATAAATAAAATATTACTTATAAGCAATACCAACGCAATATCCATTCAAGGGATTCGATCGTGTAATATTCATCTTGACAAGAAATTATCTACATACTATGATAAAATATGTATCATAAGCACAAGGGCTATAGCTCAGTTAGGTAGAGCACCTCGTTTACACAAGCGCCAATGTTTTTTTTTTCAGAGGAGTCCATCTTGTAATCAAAAGATTTTCTCTTATAGTAATAAATCGATGTCTTACTCCATTTTTTAAGCAACAAAACAAGAGAACAATAGCCTGACAAAACAAAGGGTTTAGCCATAAAACAGAATCCATCATTGATTTGAGATATTGATAAGGTGAATACCCATTTCTCGTCAATGCTAGGCATAATGGGTATAGGGACCTCAAAAAAATGATCTTTTCTCCCTATCTTTATCTTATGGACTTTAAGGTGTATGAAGTGTCATTTCCTATCTTATATTTTAATTTGAGTAGGTAGATAGAGAGTCCATTTAACTTAAGTTGATCTAGGCCATAAGCAGACCTACGTCAAGCTAATCCTTCTTTGAAACACTTTGGTAGTGCTCTTAGATTAGAATCCAAATAAATAAGAGCATAAGGAATCATCTCTTTATTATTTCTGTCAAGAAAAAAGATGGTGGACTAACTGATATTTCTATCAGTTAATGAAAAAGCTCAATGCAATAAAAATGCACGTTGGGTTTTTAAACCAATTCAAATCATTTTGATAAGAATCCGTTTGATTTGTTTTATCGAGAAGGTCTACGGTTCGAGTCCGTATAGCCCTAATATTCCTATAGATACTAATAATATTTAATATCGAATCTATCTCATTACTAATACTATTAGTAAATAATATATAGAATAGAAAGAATTTGATAATTTCTATCAGAACATATAAATATTCGATAGAATAATACTAATATTAGTATATTTATATACTAGTAGAATAAAATTTAGACTTTAGAGTAATTATTAATACTAATCGGGTATATTTTCCACATTCAGGGGAGTACGTTTATGTTTCTGCTTTATGAATATGATATTTTTTGGACATTTCTAATAATATCCAGTTTTATTCCTATTTTGGCATTTCTAATTTCTGGAATTTTAGCCCCGATTAACAAGGGACCGGAGAAACTTTCTAGTTATGAATCGGGAATAGAACCAATAGGCGATGCTTGGTTACAATTTCGAATTCGTTATTATATATTTGCTCTCATTTTTGTTGTTTTTGATGTTGAAACGGTTTTTCTTTATCCGTGGGCAATGAGTTTTGATGTATTAGGGGTATCCGTATTTATAGAAGCTTTCATATTCGTGCTTATACTAATTGTTGGTTCAGTTTATGCATGGCGAAAGGGGGCATTAGAATATATATATATATATATATATATATATATATATATATATATATATATATTTATACAATTTTATTCATTAAAACAAGTATTTGAAATTATAATAAATAGTCTTTCAAGTATTAAAAAATTCATCAAATTAGTTTTGAATGTATGTTAATGAAATATAATTCGGTTCTAAGCAAATGATTTGATGAACTATTTATACAAATTTATTAATTTAAAGATTAAATAGAAGATAAAATAATATTCAAGAGAGTAAATTGATGGTTTTGTTTTTTAACTATTGTATATGAATCCTTATTTATATATAAAGAAAATATGTGTTTAAAATATCTTTATTTACAGCGACTCACCAAATAATTTTAAGTTTTAGTTCTAAATATACAATGATTTTTTATTTTTTATAGTGAGCCTAAAGAGTCAATGTACACTGTGGTTGCCTGCCGATTAGGTAAATGAAGTTGTAATAATTTGACAAGAAATTGTCCACTCATTTTTCTTCTTTAGTAATTGTTGGAGTCAAAGGCAAAGCAAATTAATTTCTTCCCACGCGCACACAACAAAAATAACAAGAAATGAAGATCAAAGAATCGATTACTCCAATTGAATCAAAGAATAACTAACCAAAATTGAAAGAAAGAATTAATTAATTGTTAGCTAAATTTAAAAAAAAAAAAAAAACATAAAATTAGAAGAGCTTGCTAGCAAATTCATCGGTGGCACTTCCCTCTAGTCGAGAATAAGCCGATTTTGTGGCAAGATCTCTCAGTTGCGACAAACTTCTTCCCAATTTCAAAGCCAACTTCATCTCAAACAACTCCCCATTTTCCCTCTGTTCCTCATCTTCCTCCACAGTCTTTTGAATGGAATTCTCCAACAATTGGAAGAATCCGCCACAGTTTCTATACATTTCAGACACCATCCCCACTTGGCCACCATGCTCAAAACTATTAACAGCGGTGGCCAATGCCCCTCCCAAAACGGCCACTATAGGTGCCCACGATGACCCATGCCCTTGGCTCAGACACGCTGATCCCACAGCCGCAATGCCAGTGAGCAAAGGCCCCGCAATGGCCAAACTCTTATTGATCTTTAACACCAAGTTCCCCAATCTCTCATAGTCTTTCATGTCCTTTTCCTTCACCACTTCCAACACATCCCTTAACTCCATTTCAAGTCCCTCGTTCCACCCATTCTTCTTCCCTTGTTTGGTCTCATTAAAAATTTTCGATTTGTTATTTCTTTTTGGCGACAGAGGCCACCAAACCGCAGGCTCAAATCTTTTGGGAAATTTTTCAAGCATGGCTCCCAACAGAGGAAGTGGGTATGCTTTGTCGAGTGCTAAGACCTTGTTCATTGCATCCTTTATATCTTCCTCCGTGGGAGTGCCGATGGCTAGTGTGGTTTCGATGTGGGACTGGAGCTGCTTGAACAACCTCTTGGCGTTTCGTTGTTCCTCCGCCAGTTGTGAGGGCTGGATTTTGTTCATCAACACCAACATCCCCGTGGAGGCGGAGAACAAGAGAGTGGACGATAGTTTCAGCGCCAAGAGCGGCGCGCCACCGGCGCCCATTGTGGCGGCGACGCCGGCCATGGCGGTGGCGGTGAGAGTGAGCATGTTGATGGAGTTTAAGAGAAGGGTGTTCCAGTTGTCACGCTGCTCCCCTATGTTGTGGTGCATCTCCACTCTGTCGGCCACGGCTTCTAGAATTGCATAGAGTTGAATGGTGGTTTTTGAGGTTGTAGTGGTTTTGTTGTTGTTGTTTAATGAAGTGTCTTGGAGCGTTGGTATTGTGTGTGAGAAGCCATTTAGTTCCTCAAACAGCTTTCTACTTGGTTTTGGCTCTATGGAAAGAGGAATAGGGAGTTTAGGGACGTGCATTGAGGGTTTTATTGATGATGATGATGATGAACATAAGGTGTTAGAAAGCAAGGATGAAATTTGTAAGGAAGACATGGTGTACTGTATGTGAATTTGATTTGATTTGATGATGTTGTTGTTGTCGTTGATATGAAAAGCTGAGAGGGATGGGTTGTAATATATAGGAGCTTATGTGTGAACACGGAGATCAAAAGAAAAGGTCAGATATGGAAACTGTTGACTGGATATTTGGATTTGACTTTTTTATGTTTGATTTTCATTCCATCTTTGTTCAAACTATACCGTCTCCTACTCGGATTGCCACGGTCACCAATGCGATGTAGTTTTTGGAGATGCAATCCAAGGGTCCAACTTCGTAGTTCGCAAGTTCATATTGTAAAATATAAATCACACTTTACACTTGTTTCTTTTCCAACCTTTATTTTGTGGTCTATGTCAATTACATGTAAATTTCACTTTGGTACCCACTCTAAATTGTACAACGTTTGACAAGTTTATACTTCATACACATAAGAAAGAGGGGTAAAAAAAGAAAGAAAGAGTTGTGAGATAAAATGAATGTAATGGAGACATAAGAATGAAAAAAATGAGTGTGTAAAAAATTGATGTAAGCATGACAAAATAAGTTAAACGTGCTATATATAGTTTTCCACAAAGTCGATAAATATTTTTATTAATATTATAATAAAAAAAATATAATATACATATAGTTTTGCAATTAAAAATTGATGACGATGTAGTGATGTTTTATTTTGTTTTTCAATATTTTACTTATGTATTTAATTTATTTTTCTTTAATAACATAGTTCATGAAATAGCAAGTCTGTCTTGAATTTGAGTAACAATTGTAATAATCAAGAAAATCTCTTTCTCTCTCTACTGTCAAATAAATAAACAAGTTAAATATTTTATTAAATAATGAAAATAAAATATATGTACATAAAGGACTGAGATTCCCACCAGCAAAGGTCCCGAGCCCCTTGTTTGTTTTGTACAAAAATAAGATAGGAGAGATAATGTAATCAATAGTTCTGATTTTTGCAGGAGGGAAAAGATTGCGGGAGATGAAAAAAAATAATTGCAGGAGATACAGATAGGACCTGTACTCCAAGGGATTGTTATAGCCACAAAAAGACACTCACTATTTTACTCTTTGAAAATGTTTGATACACAGCAATTTTTCATATTTAAAAATTATGAAAATATATTTAATTGGTCATAAATATTTATTAAAATATTTTTACGTATTATTTAAAAATTAAAATATTTTATTTTATTAAATAAAAAATAAAGATAATATTTTACCATATTAAAACTTTATTTAACTTTGAAAAAGGAAATTTATATAAAAATTATTTCTAAAAATAATATTTTTCAAAAATAATGTTTTTTAAATGACAAGTTAAACACAAAAATTAACAATTTCGTCCATACCAAACACCACTTTAGTAACATTAATATTATTTATCTACGTGTCTCTTTTCTTATCATATCATCTATTATATTTATGTTTTATTTTTATTTTTCTCTCTCATAGGTGTTGAATAGATTGACGGGTGTTCAAAAATCATTTTTGTTCCGAGATATAAACGCACGGGAGACCCACAAGCTCATGACCTCATAGTGGAACTTAATAGGAAAACAATGTTCAACGTTTATTAAAAATTTCTTGCAACGAAGGAATTCAATTTGTATTACTAACTTCTATTTTCAAGTATCCAATCTAATTACTTGTTTTCTTGGGGACCAAGAATCAATATACAGCTAACTCATGTTTATTAAATATTAGATAGACGATATCATTCATGACGATACGGAGATTTAATTAAAAGCCATGTACTCATCTATCTATAAATTATCTGACGAGTATATTAATTTGTTTAAGAATTTGATATAATATTCAGCTATATAAAGGGTTTGTATAATCGAATATTATATGGGTTGTCATTAGTCACCAATTTATTTGGAGTTATGTTGATTTTAATAAAAAAATTATAAAATACTAATTGTATTAGTGTTAAGTGTAGTAAATCTTGATATGTAAGATTAATCTTTTAGAAAAAGGAAAAATCAAAGAATAGTGCATGCATTTACATTATGTATTTTTGGAGAAAAAGTGTTTGGTATCAATTTTTGTATATATTTAGTTCTTTTTATGTTTTTTTTTTGTTAGATATTCATTTGAGAATTTTCTTATATTATTATTCACCATATTTGTGAGAAATTACTTTTAGTAATTCTTGATAGTTTCGTAGGATTTGTGGTGTAAACATTGGTTATTATTAGCGAAACTTTTACCAGACTAAATCTTGTAGATTTTTACTTCAAATTGTGGGTTTTTTCATATTAAAATTTGGTGTCTATTAATTTTTATTTTTCTATTTTGTATATCCTAATAAAATTATTTTGTTGCTTCCATTAGATATATTTTCTTAATTATTAGCTATTTTTATTTATAATCAAAAGATTATTGATTTACTCATCTCTTTTATCAACATGCTCTCATTAGATACGTTTTCCCTCCTTTCTCTCTATATATATTCCAATCTCAAAGGGTGAGAGTGAGACAACAAAACATTTATTATTATTATATATTGAAATATAAAAAAAATTCAACAAAACATTTTCCAATTTCAACAAGTTTAGTGGGTAACGTTATGCTTCTGTTGATAGCTACCTACGGTCCTCGGTTGAAAACTTGAATAGTCAATGGTTTATACTAAATATTAAATAAAAAAATTGGTGGAGAAATTATAATAATATATGCCGGTCATTAGCACGCCCTAGTAAACAAATCTCGATTATTTTGGACAGTTATTTTAATTTGGAAAATATCCTTAACATATCTTACAAGGAATGTAGAGGATTATACAAAATAAAATTAATGTGAAATAAACATTATATATCCCGTGTAAATTAATGTACATCCACATTTCATAGCCTCTCATATTTGTAGGTCAAATGACTATACATGTATTATATACATTAAAAAAGAATAAAAGGAAAGAATGGCATGCATAGAATCAAAGAAAGAATTAGTGTTGATCTCTTAGAAGAGTTTGCTGGCGAATTCATCTATCTCCCTCCCTTCCATACGACATGAAGCAGATTTTGAGGCAAGTTCTCTCAGCTGCGAAACACTTCTTCCCAATTGCAAAGCCATCTTCATTTCAAACAGTTCCCCATTTTCTCTTTTCTCCAAATCCTTCTCTTCCATTGTGGCTTCAACTGTCTCTTCCAAAAGCTGAAAAAATCCACCACAGTTTCTGTACATTTCGAACACCATGCCAACTTGCCCTCCATGCTCAAACGCATTAACCACTGTAGCCAACGCCCCAAGCACAGGAACCAACACTTCCCATGATGATCCATCTCCCAAAAACATAGATCCTATTGCTGCAATTCCTGTAAGCAAAGGTCCTGATAAAGCTAAACCCTTGTTTATCTTGAGTGCAATGTTCCCCAACCTCTCATAATCTTCCGCGTCCTTTCTCTTCACCACTTCAATAACCTCTCTCATTTCCTCTTCCAACTCCGCACTCCATCCATTATTATTGTTATTCTTAATCTCAATCTCAATCTTCCCAGTGTCATAATTGCTTCTACTTTTAGGCCACCATCTAGCAGCTTCAAACTTTTCTGGGAACTTTTCAAGCATTGCTCCCCCCAACAAGGGAAGTGGATAAGCTTTGTCCAACGCCAAAACCTTCTCCATTGCGTCTCTCACATCACCTTCAGTTGGATTTCCAATTGCTATTGTGGTTTGGATCTGTGTCTGAATCTGCTTCAACAGTCTTGCTGCGACTCTTTGTTCCTCGGCGAGTTGCGAGGGTTGGATTTTGTTGGTGGCAAGTAGCATTCCCGTGGCTGCTGAAAACAAAAGAGCAGAAGATAGTTTAAGAGCCAAAAGGGGTGCACCGTCGCAACCACTCGTGCCGGCAACACCAGCCATGGTTGAGGCCGTGAGGGTTAGCATGTTGATGGAGTTTAAAAGCAGCGTGTTCCAATTGTCACGTTGTTTTCCCACGTTGTTATGCATTTCAATTCTGTCAGCCACAGCCTCCAAGATGGCATAGAGTTGAACATGAACTGTGGCCTTAGAATTTGTAGGGCTATGTAGATCTGGATCATATAGCGTATTCTTTTGCAATAATGGGGATTTTTCTCTCACTGTGAATTTGTCGAACTCATGCATCACAATTCTCCTCGATGATGCTATAGCTTTTGTAACGGAAAAGGAGACTCGAGGTAGTTTGGGGACATTGATAGAATAATTGGTTCTCTTTAGAGAAGAAGGTGAAGATGATAAAGGGTAATTAAGCAGAGGCGAAGCTCGTAAGGAAGGCATATTATAGAGAGAATTGAAAGATTTTGGGTTTGGTTTGGATGAAGAAATTGAGGTTAGTTACCTGGTGTATGCGTATTTATAGTAGGAAGGTGGGGCAGATGAGAAGGTGCTGGATACGGGTAAAAATAAAAATTAACGACGTGATTGGGTCTGCCTAACATATTTGCTTATGTCATGTTGACCAGTTCCTGTTCAAAATATTGTACCCAATGCCTTCGTCTCTACATCTTCCTAACGTCGTCTTCTGAACCATAACATTTTTAACGAAGCCTTTCAGTACTTTCCTTTCAATTAATTACGCAGAAATTAAACACAAATTTGTGCTGTTATACATATATATATATATATATATATATGAATGGTTGAAACGACATTGGTGTAATTTTTACCAAATAATACACTGTTTAATAACTTTATATTAAATGTGAATTTTATAAATACAATCGTTAGATTGAAAATTATTTACTTTTAAATCATATATACAAAATTTTATATTAATCCAAAATGATTTGATACTTCATTTTTATAAAATAAAATTGACATAATCTATACATTTCAAAATATAATAAAATATGAACATTTTGATTACTTTCAAGTTATTATTTAATTTTAACAAAATTTGATATAAACATATAAAATGATATATATGAAGTTATAATTCAATGGTTGGATTTACAAAATTCACATTTGATATAAAGTTGTTGAGCGGTGTATTACTTAGTAAAAGTTACACTGGTGTCATTTGATTCATTTTCTATATATATATATATATAGGAGACATTCGTTTACTCCTGTAAATCTATTTAAACTTATTTCGTTCAATAACTCATATTCTACATCAAATTTTAATGATCTAACCATTTAATTTAAAAATTTTAATGTATAGATCAAGTCTACAAATTTTTGAAAAAAATGAAAATCATTTGATACTTCATTTCATTAATTTAAATTGACGGATAATCATAAAATTATTTTATTCGTTAATTTTCTTAATGAAAAAAAGGTATTAAATAGTTTTCAAATATTTTAAAAATTTACAAATTTGATCTATACATTAAGAACTTAAAATTGAACGGTTGGATCATTAAAATATGATGTTGAACATGAATTATTAAATAGAATAAATCTAGGTAGACTTACTCCTAGAATAAATAGATCTCTTTATATATATATATATATATATACACGACAAGATCTCATACTCACCATATATATACATCATTTGTTTCCATTTTATACAAATACACTAGTACAAAAGAGGTATTCCACGTCGGATATTTTGAGCTTTTTACGTCAGAAAAAATACTGACTGAGATGCG